TCAATTCATTAAAAGAAAAATAAGAAATAGTCAAACCTGTCTATAACGGTACCCCAAGGGACCGAACAACTGTAGTAGACAGGTTTCCGCTTATACAGGTTATCTACAACAGGTATCCTTTGATTAATGCCCTTGATTACAACCATTTCAAGTGGATGAAGTGTTTCAACAATACGTGTCTGTGACACACAAAGATTCGTTGCAAATTCGTCAATCTTTAACAAATTTCTTTCCGCAATTTCTCTTCAACAGCTTTTGGGGGTCTTACGTTTTCTATCCTTTAGTTCAGAATTTCCCGAACGAAAATTTCAAAAGCACGTTTGACACACTCGAGATTTAGAAGCATCTTCTCCCTACACGGTACAAGTATATTTACTGCTTGTATAGCGTGATATCCTTTACGAAACTTAAAAGCATGCATAATATGAATGATGTGTATTTTATCTGCAGACATTTCGACTTGATTTTATTCAAATGAAATGTGATGTAAAAAATTTTAAAATAAGCTTGAAAGCAAAGAATACAATCGCACATCGGGAATAATGTGTTAAATTTCACAACTTTTAATTAAATCACATATTTATGTTAAGTAAAAACAGCTGTTAATAAAAATATACAAAAACTTTCCGTTTAAATCCTAATAAAATGACTGTAATACACTAGTCGTATTTTGCTATTCTGTATTGCGTATGTGTATTTTTTGTTAAATTTGTGCTAAATCGAATAACGATGCCGATTTTTCCCTTATAGGGCCCGAATTTCTTTCCTTTTCGCGTTGGACAGGTTCCGCTATATACAGGTTAACTTACATTAATTTTTACAAAAAATTCAGGAGACCGGAGAAATTTTCCGTTAATGTTTTCGTTATAAACAGATTTGACTGTAAAATACGAAGCAAGTTCTCTCGAAATTTAGAGAATAAAGTTTCCATTGAAAGTGGAAAAACACTAAAACAGGATACGAAAGAATTAAAATTTTGTAAAAGAATAAATTATTAATCGAAAATCATTTATAAAATTTTTCATTATTGTAATTAAGTTTTTCTACACCAATTTGGAATTAATTGATGTCATTATTCACCAAAAGTATTAATTTATATGCTTAACTTATTGCATTCATTATTAAAACAGCCGGCACTTTTAATATCTTGACTGTGTAATTATATGTAGATTCTAATTACAGTTTAACTAATAAGAGGTATTTTTTTTTTATTTTGTCGACCAGATGTTTAGAAGTTTCGATATATAGGGACTTAATGTCAATCCATCGCGCGGACATCTGGACCTGTCGTACCCTGTCCAGGTCCAATTAATCACGAATCGTTTATCGGGGAATCGTTTTCATCCTTTCCCTATGGTGGCCAACCACATTGTGGGTCACACGTGCCCTTAATGGGTATACTTGTAGCGACCGTATGGCCTTTAACTAACGTTATACGGTCTGTTTTTTATATAGCCGACCAAATAATGGTTATTCTACTATACATCATCACTTCTGGTTTATATTGTTTCTATTCAAAGAGTTATGTTTATCCGTTAGCAAACGGTATCATCGACACCCTATTTTTTTTTTTTTTTTTTGACCGAGATGCGCCTAGTTGTTTCTGTTAATGGCAAAACCGGAAAATGACAAGACACGAAACGCTATAACAGAAATGGTTTCGGTTAAATGAAAACACGCCTACAGTTAATGTAGTATTTTGCCTAGAACCTGGCATCTCAAACATACACAAATATTCATTAGTTTAGTTATTTTAATTTCCAAGAGATTTGTGGTGAGGTGTTAAGTGAATAAAGTAAAAGTATAATTTTTTAAGTTATTCGAATTTCACGTAATAATCAAATTTGATCTTTTTAGATAAATATACACAATTACTGAAATTATGATTTTCCTTTATTCGTCCGTAAATTAGAAGTTTATAATCCGATTTTAACCAGTTTACAGATAAATATACGAACTCTACGTGTGGAAAATTTATTTTCAATAAACAGTTTACAATTCTATAAGAAGTTATATAAATAAGAATATATGAAATTGTTTTCTCGGCAATTTAGAATAATTGCGAAAGTCCGGTTTTAATTCACAAAATGCAGACAAGCTCCCCCGACCTTGTATAGATTTTTCAAATAATGGTAAGAAGAAGCCTTTGGAAAACGTATAATTTTAGTCTGGACAGCTTTTGCAACACCTCGTCAGTCCTTCCAAAAGGAAAATAATTACAGGTCGGCAAAAATACATTTGTAAACAGTACTTTTGCTTGGCTGACATTCTGGGTGGAACTGGATTTCAGGAAGCATAGCGAATAATTTTCTTCCAACAAAGAATAACTTCTGAAGAAGCGCTTTACGTACAAAATTCCCTTTACATTTTATAATTTAACTATTATAATTTTTATAAAATTCAAATTTATCGATAAATTTAAAAGCGGCGGTTTTAAGTTACGACTCGATTGTATTTAATAATCTGCAATTTCGACACAGGAAACTGATGTCATTATAGAATTATGCTCGTTAAACATTACAGGATGTTATGTTAAGAAACGATTTGTTTATTTATTCTATGAAAAAAGCTCGGATAATTTTACAGTCAGGTCTAAATAGTGAAAGATGGCTTCAATAATTCGGACATTTAGGCTTATATGACAACAGCCATCTACGTCAATGAGAAAAAGTGTAGACTATATCTACTGGCTGAACTGGTTTGACAGATGAACCACCTGCAGATCCGTCTTCCAGTTCATCTGCTTGTAATTTCTCATACTTATTAAACAAAAAGTGCCGACTAAAATTTCCCAGGCTTAATAACGAAAAGTCTTTTTTTTTCTCTTAACAAAAAAAAACGAAGTTTTAATCGAAAAATGTTCGCTAATCTGCGTGACGTGAGAACATTAAAGATTCACTAACGCACTCTAAACATTGTCTCTTAACTACATCGCTTCGGTTGAAAAGCTAATTTTACTTAATTAGCTCACTTTTTTTTATACATTTCATTACTTGTATGCTTCATTTTAAAAGTAAAAATAAATTTTAAACTTAAAAAGTAAGGAGAGTTAAAAAATAGATTATACTATATGATGAATTGTACAAATTTCCGCAGCTGCAACTTAACAATGGCCATTTATAATTTGCAGACGGTTATTTTTAGAAATATCTAGACCAGATACGATCTAGATATTTCCTGATTTACAAATAATCTTGATTTTTTTTTTCTAGAATTATATGTCATTCACTTCATAATTTAAGCCTTTTAAATTAATGTATTTTTTAAAATATACTTAACCAGTTTCTTCATTCCTCATTTACTTTAACCGTAAACTGTCTTTAAAAAATGATATTTTACAGATATTTTAACACCTTTACCGAACAGATTTATTATATCACTCTTCATCTAGCAAAGTTAATATTTCATGTAAAAGAAACATGCAAATTTATAGCTATCCAGTCATTTTAAGTAAATTATATTTATTATTTATGTGTGTTCTGGATATTTTTATCCCTAAATTTAGAAAGGACTTAATGTGGGCGACGAGAAAGTTATTTTAAAATGAATAAATTCATGAAGAGTTTGTCTTATAGATTATTTATCAGTCTTTCAATAATTTAATGCGGGTTATAAGAGGACACGTCGCGACATATATCACTTGGACATAAACTACTGAAGAATTAAATAGAGCTTGGTGTATCAATATTAAATATCGCTAAGTAAAAGCTGAAATATTTATATATTTTTCTATTGGACTAAATGCAAAATATAAGAGCTAAACTGGAAAACCTATGATAAAACACGGATTTAACAGAAGAAGTCTAAATTCGTGAAATTTGACAGAATGAGGTTAGTTTAAGTGAAGTTTTGCAAGAGTTCCAAATTAAAGTTTTCTTGTAATGTTATACTAAACAGTCGCTAATTAAGTTTAAACTTTTTTTATATTTTTCTATCTACAACTTGAGATTTAAACTATGCTCGAAGAAATACAAGATCTCATTATCCTTTCCGCTAATTGGAACATCAGAAATACTTTTACATCTTTAAATTAAAAGGAACAATTGGATTCATTTTTCCTAGTTCAAAGATTAGGTAGACGACACTTGTGATTCACTCAACAATTTTAATCTTTGTTCATCTAAAGAGACAACAATTTTAATCTTTGTTCATCTAAAGAGACAACAATTTTAATCAGGAAGCTCTCCCGTTTCCCTCTTTAATTGGAAAATGTTATAAAGATTTTTTTTAAACTCGTTATTTAACTCGCTTATATATGAATTCTAAGATAAATTACGCAAAATTTTAAACGTTAAAACACCCACGCCCACTTCAGCTTGTTAACAAGTAATTGAGAGGGGGGAAAAACCCCAGCGTGAACTGTCATGATAACTCGTGCTGTTGTAACCCAAGACGTACCCAAAGAACCCGGCGAGAGAATAAAAGTATATATTAAAAAAAAAAAAAAGCATACTCGATCGTAAATATTAAATAGTAGTATATCTTCTAGATGGATTAGCTGATCATAGAGTGAACTAACCGGTTCGATTGAATGTCACCTTCGTCCAGCCACGTTTTGGACAGGTTTTAATGCTCTCTTCTAGCCGAAATGGGTTCAATCATTTAAGAGCACACTTTATTTACCAACTCATTCACCCTCCTCTTAAACTAATATTTAAAAAAAAAAAAAAAAAATTGAATAAAAACGCTCTCGATCCACCCTTTTTTCAAACACGCCAGACCTTTTAATAACTATTATTATTGTATATAAATTTTTAAATGCAAACAAGAAGCAAATATTTAGCGTTTAGACTTTGTTCCCGAAGCACAAAAGTTCAGAAGAGAGGGGAGTGCATTCCACTTTTCATTGTTTGTTAATGGATGAAGCGACAACAGGTAAAATCCGTCTCGACTTAAAAATCTGGCGTCACAATAGAGCTTTAAGAAAGGGCATTTTATGCTTAAAGTTTTTACGCGTTAGAAGATTATAATCTATTATTTTTTAAATTGCGTTTTCTTACCTTTAAGATCGAAAGTTGTCGAGTTGTAATTCTTATTTATAATTTCAGGACGGCGAAAATATTCCGCAGACGTGGAAAAAACCAGAGCTAACAATATTAAAATCATTATGTTAGTGTGTTAAGAGAGGCGCAAGTTTTACCATCTCGAAAGAAAGTCGAAACGGTTCTGTCATAATAAAAGCTGACCAGCGAGACAAACTTCGCATCTTATCCATGTGCGACTGAATTGTGCGCCCTCTCTCAACTTGTTTCCTATGACGTCACACCATCACTTTTTTCATCTTTTAAATTAGCATTTCGAATAGACTCGAGTATAAATTAAGTATTACGGTGTACATTCGATACTTATAAAAAGTAACCTACCATTTTCAATAAGAAAATATTTATTTCAACGACTTTTCTTTATAAACTTGCGTGTTTAAAGGTTGCCATTTCGAGGTATTGTTTCATAAATTTGCGTGGACGTACGACACGAAAGAATGAAGTAGAATGAGGAAGACGAGCAGAGCAAAATAGATTAAACGTGTTTGTAAATAATACACTTATAAAAAAAGTAGGCAAATAGTATACGACTAAAGAATGTTAATTGTTAATATTATTGTTAAAAATAACAGAAAATTATTATTTTAAAGCTGTTTATGTGATCAGAAATATCAAATGATTAGCAGTACAGAAAATATTTTTTAAATCTAATTTTATGCTTGACATTTTTAAATAGTTACGATGCCAGAATTCGGTCGAACTCAAAATAAAACTATAGTTATCTCACCAGTAAAAATATTAATAGTTACTAATACTTCGCTGTGCTGTTGAAAATATTCGGTTGTACCCAAGGTGACATATATATTAATATATAATAGAATAATTCCATAAAACAATTAATATTTACCTACAAATGTAAAAAGTATCTGAAGTAAGCGGCATATTTAAATTTCTTAACAGTAAGTCGCTTCATTTTTAAATAAGAAGATTATCTTTAGAATATCATAACTATATTTAATACTGACACAGATACTAAACATATTTTAAAGCTTGGAATAAATGTTAAAAATAATAGCATGTTTTTGAAGTTTAAGCTTTTTTTATTTTTCTTCTTTTATTCAAAAAGTTTCGTATCTAAAACGCTCGATCTAATGGAAAAGAAAAGAGAAACGTTATCTTCCGACTGCATTAGCCAGACCCGAAAGAAGTATTCTTTATCTGAAAATTAAACGTTTTAGCTATCTCGTGCTTACACATCAAGAGGTAAAATCTTTTGAAACCAAGCTACTGTATTTGTCATTTGTGACTTTTCCAATGTAACTTTCGATAGAAAGGAGAAAAACTGGTTAAAATCTCGTAGAATAAAAATAGCAAAACAAAAGACTTGCTAATGATACTTTACTTATAATTTTTTTTATTTTGTTTGTTTATTAAAAAGGAAACATTCGTTTAGATAACAAATTTTAAAACGAATGAATGCAATTTCCGGTTTCTTTTTTTCCTTTTCCTCTTATAATTAAGAAACTGTAAAACGTATGAATAACAGTTAAGAAATTCCTATAAGATACAAAGTTATAAGAATTGATACAATCATTATTATTTACTTATTTATTTTTATGATGTAATCGTTTGTCATGAATATAGGAAAGGACAAGAGATTCACAGTAGAACATATACATTTTAAAACACACAATACAACACAACAGATTTTAAAGTATATGATACAATACAACACAGAACACATTTTAAAATAAGATAGCATACTTGTCGCTGAGATAAACAAACTCTTACCATCTCGTACGCTGTATACAAGATATTACAAGTACAAGACAATAATAAATTATATTGACTATTGAAAAGTAAATAAATAAATAAAACGCTCGAAACAATAGAATTTCAAAAGTCAAGAACGGGTTTCAAAGATTATTCTAATCGTATTTACACTTTCATATTGCTATTGTATAGATTTGAATAAATTGAAAAATTAATAATTTTATCTCATTCATCAACATTAATCTCATTTAATGCGATAAGGTAACGTGTTTTTGTTTAGGCTATACACAAGAAACACGTTTAGTCTTGTACAATATCTTGTCATATACAATTGATTACGTTATCTCTACACTTTCCTTTCAATAGGAATGAACTTTCAACGTCCTTAATACTTTTTTTTCCCTTTTCTTTTCATTAAAAGATTCTCCATTTTTATTCGTCTATTGTATTTTTCTTGTATAATTTATTATTTAAATAAGCAAATCACTGTATTCCAGTATAATGTTATACTAAACAGTCGCTAATTAAGTTTAAACTTTTTTTATATTTTTCTATCTACAACTTGAGATTTAAACTATGCTCGAAGAAATACAAGATCTCATTATCCTTTCCGCTAATTGGAACATCAGAAATACTTTTACATCTTTAAATTAAAAGGAACAATTGGATTCATTTTTCCTAGTTCAAAGATTAGGTAGACGACACTTGTGATTCACTCAACAATTTTAATCTTTGTTCATCTAAAGAGACAACAATTTTAATCAGGAAGCTCTCCCGTTTCCCTCTTTAATTGGAAAATGTTATAAAGATTTTTTTTAAACTCGTTATTTAACTCGCTTATATATGAATTCTAAGATAAATTACGCAAAATTTTAAACGTTAAAACACCCACGCCCACTTCAGCTTGTTAACAAGTAATTGAGAGGGGGGAAAAACCCCAGCGTGAACTGTCATGATAACTCGTGCTGTTGTAACCCAAGACGTACCCAAAGAACCCGGCGAGAGAATAAAAGTATATATTAAAAAAAAAAAGCATACTCGATCGTAAATATTAAATAGTAGTATATCTTCNTGATGACTCAAAAATTACTCATCAAAATAAGATGAAATAGATTTTAATAACTAAAAATTATAATAATCTGGGTAACTATTTTACAATTTAAACAATAAGTCTGTATAAAGCAAAGGCGAGGAACCAGCAGTTTGATGGTTTCATATTCCCAATTTTGTATAAAATGTATAGAGCAGAGGTAGCGAATCCACTAGAAGAGTTTTGTGGCTTCTAAAGCTTCCTGATAAATTTAAAAAAGTAAAGAAAAGAAAAAAAGTTATACTACCCACTTTAGTTTTGCATAAAACTAATCTGGGTACTATAAATACCCAGTTTAAATTAGGTATTTTATAAATTTTAAATTATAAAAACATAGTTTTTAATAATATGCATCTATCTAAAAGTATGTATTTGCTATGCTTGTCTTATGAATGTATATACAGTACTAATGCAATCTGCAATGGAAGATGACTCTTTGAGATCACTCTGAAGTAAGATGAGGCCTTTCCATATACAATAGAAAGATTGTCTAACTCTAAAGTTAACTCAATTAAATAATGGAATTTCTCATGCAAAAAACAACGTATTCATTACGATTTTATTAATTTCCAAGCTAAATAATAGATTAAATGGATACATAACTCTATCAAAATAAACTTTTATGAAGGATATAAAATGTTTTAATTTTTTTTTTTTTTTTAGTATCTTATAAATAAGCCTAACATTGCTTTATCTTCATAACATGTATAATGAATTTTTTCCATATTTTCATTTTAAATTATATGCAGAAATTCTTTTTTAAATTGCTAATGAAGAATTGAAGTTAATGAAATATTATTTTAACGCCGAGTAAGCAATAACTATAATTTTGTTCTGTTTAAGTGTTGTCTATCAACAGCAGTAATCATAGGCTGAAAGTTAATAAATTATTTATTAAAATTTTTTTACCGACTTATCTTATTTAACAGCCATTAATCCAATCAGAAAAAGTTATCAAGGAGCAAATGTCGTTGTTATATCGTGTTACTGAAAACAGGCAATAAAGTTCTCTACCATTTCGCATTTTATCTTACATTACATTATGTAATGTAAATTAAGTATAAATTATAAATTTATTGTATATATTTATTCAAGGTGAATGAGTTAAAATCGTTACATTTATTGTCAAATTTATCTTTTAAGCTTTGTGTAATTGTTTAATGCTATTTCTGTATTACCTTATAGATATAAACTTTGCAGCGGAAATGCGTAAAGCAGGGGCACTCCAGGGAGCCAAGAGGCCATGGCTCCTTTTTGTTTCAATTGACGATAATTTAGGATAATGGTTTTGAAATTTTATTTCAGCATACGAATAATAATCATTATAGTTTTAAATTTTTATGTCTGATACACGTTCGGTATATCCTAATATTTTAAAACTTCTAAATACTGCTTAAATTGAACAATGCATTTTCTATATATATAATCAAGGGTAAATCTACATGGGAACTAATAGAGCTTAAGCCCTGGGCCCCCAAGTATCAGGGACCACAAAAATTGAATTATCATAAATTTTTAATATTTTTTCATTAACAATGAGCACTTATCGTATAGTAAAAAATAGTTAATATTAATAATATAATAATAATAATAATTTATAGTATTATTTATATTTAAAAAAAAATGGGGCCCCATTGGACTTCAATAAGCCCTAGGGCCCACAAAATCTAGACCCCCCTGTATATAATAACTAATTTTTTCCTTACTAATTAATTATAATAGAAAAACCAGATTCTTAGTATGTAATTACAGATCTTTTGAATGATTTAATAAAATTACATTTGTTAATGTTAAACTACTATGGACCTTTGTCCTTGTTCGTTATCATCTATCTATTTCTATCTATATATAAGTATATTTATAATTACCTATAAATAAAATTTAGTATATAAAGATAATCTATACATCGCTCTTCATTTTTAATAAAAATACACTTTATAGTATAATAATTTAATAAATTGTTTAATTGTAATTGAAAAAAATTATTTGTATCCAAGATAGGAATTCATTTTTAAAAATCTCATGTTCTACACTTTATCATGAAATGAATATAAGCTTTAAATGTCTTACGCTTATTTCCAGTATTTTAAAATTGTTTTATTGAATACATTATATCAAAACTACAATAATTAAATAATTATTGAATCAAATATAAATATACTTTAAAAATTCTACATGTATTCAGAACGAAACAACTTAAATACATCTTAAAATATAATTTTATATATATTACGAATATTATAGATCAAAAATCTATTCTTTTAACCCAAATTTCTTCCGTTTTGTTATCTGTTGAATTATTAGGAACTGAATTACTCTTTTCTGAAGTTTTCTCCTTTAAATCCTTACAAGAATTGATGTTATTTGAAAAATTCCGTTGCAGGAGAGGTTGCTGTTTAGGAATAATTTTCTTCCATAAACTATCCCAGATACTGAGAATAACGGGTAATATAAACATAGCGTGTATGGCTGTGAATGTTACAATTAAGAAAATAGTCTTCAAAAATACTTGAAGCATATAAGATGGCACAAAAGCTAAAACAACTATACCTAATATAGTGGAGAAGGAACCTTGAAATATAGGCATACCCACTGCAAATAACGATGCTTTGAGATTTTCTTTTGATGATGTTTTGTTAGAAATGATAAATGCGTATGCGATGTGGGCTGGATAATTAACAGAAAAACCTACACACATCACTAAACTTATCATAGATAACACATCCAGATTAACTCCCCACAATGACATATAACCGATAGCTTCAACTTCTACAGCAACGATTGTTACCGCAACACATACAGCGCAAGTAAAATTTGGTATAAAAATGAAAAAGATAACCATCATAACCACTGCAGCCACACAAACTGTCTGAATAGATATTGACTTTACAACAAACATCTGTTCATTAAATATAAAATATAAACAATGGGCAATTATAGATATTTTAGAATCTCTCATAACCTCTTTCACGTGTTTATATAATTCCCTCTCTTTGTCTCTGTTATCACATTTATGGATAGTAAAATGAAATCTACTACTAATTATTTCTGTATAGTTCTCATTAAACACTATATCACTTCTTAATTTTCGAGTTTGAGGAAATTTTAAGAAAACATTATGCACACAATCAATAAAATCTTGTTTATCAGTAAGATTATACGCTCTGAAAGAATATGAAAGCATTGGATGTTTCGACATTAACATAAAATACTTTAACCAATATTCTGTGAAGAAACCACCTTTTATATAAGGAGTAGCTTCAAAATTTTTAATTAAGTTGTCAATGTCTTGTTGCACTTTTGGATCAGCATAATTTAACGTTTCGTTAATGGCAACATGTATGCGACCCGTATACTCACCAAAGTATTCAAAATTTAATTTAATATATTTATAACTACTAGTTTTTGGATGAAGAAGGTCACTGAGTTCCATTCCTTCCTTCATATGACTGCATCCCCAAATAGCTACTGCAATGTTTATCAAGAATAATGCAATAATTATAACTTTGCTACATGTCTTAGTTAATAAACCTCCTATGGTTTCTTTAAAAAACTTCATAAATATGTCTTCTTGTATTACTATAGGTTCTTCTTCGCAAGTAGACGTTTTGTTTTCTGAAAAAGATAAATTTCTAAAATCAAATAAATGTTTAAAATATTAATTAATTTGTCATAAAATAAGCAAAAATTGAAAAATACCTTTAAATTTCACTGGTCTAAAAGTAAAAGGATGGAGTTTTTGTTCTTCTCTGAGTCCACTTAAAGCCATGCATCCTCCAAAAAATGTGATTTGATATACGTAAGTAAAAAACACTGCAGTCGCAGCATATATACAAAAAAATTGTACAACAGGAAAGGGTGTGACCATTCCAAAACAAAAAGAAAATAAATTAGTGAGTGAAGTTATCGTAATTGACACTGCTGCTTCTGAATAGGCTTCTCCCATTCTCCTTTTTAGACTTTTTTCGGGACTTGTACGTCTCCAAGCAGAAATTAGAACAAATGAATCATCCATCCCTATTCCTATAATTAATTACAATAAGTCAGAAACTTATCTTATTGCAAAATATCTGTAAAAATAACATAAATTATACAATTACCTATCATCAAGAAGGGCAAAGCTATTATCACGTCGACGTATTCCACTCCGCAATACATGAGCATCCCAAAAGTTGCCGAAACAGCTAGAAGAGAAGAAATAAATCCCGATAATCCCAACCATGGTTTACTTCTAATCCATTCAGTTGACATGCAAGTGACTATTGAAAAANTGTTAATTGTTATTGATTTTTTGTATTTATATTTTCTCTACATTTATAAATATTGCGACCATTTAAATATCTGTATATTTTCCTTTGAAATAGATAATCAGGAAATAAATAAATAAAAAGTGATTTAAATGAAATTTTTGGGGAAGAGTATTAAATCAATAAATTGTAAGAAGAAAATTAATAGAAATGCTTACACATCATAAAATAAATCACGTAAACAAATATTGATTTTAGAAGATTTAGAACACGATTAAAAAGTTTAAAAAAGGTATCCATTCGCTGAGCTGTCACGTTGTTGTCAACTCTGCAAATGTTTGACAGTCACGAGCTCAGCTGCTATTGTCACGTTGTCGTTACAAGTGCCACATATCAATAGACCATCAAACATATTTATAACCTCAACTAAGGTTTGTATGTTATATTCGATACGTTTAGCTGAGCCACAGATGACTTTTTCTATTCTACTAAACTATCAAACTATAATTTTGCCAGAATCATTTCAAGCTTGATTTCATTAATATACGCATTGAAGTATTATTCCCAAGGCTATAAAATGAGTTCGCAAAAAGACTTCGTTTCAATGTCTTGAATAGAAAGATATTTTACGAATATTATCCATAAAATATTGATAAAAATTATCTTTTGAGTCAGTATTTTATGGTTATAGCATCAACATTTCTGCGACTTTTATTGCTCTTTCATCAATGCATTTCTTTCACAAATGATAACATAAAAAATCTCATCTTTGATTTTTCTTGAAAATAATGCATTGTGATACTTAATTAGTTTTATAAATAATTCTGTATTTATTCACTTTAAAATCTCGCTTTGTTTTTTGATTATATCAAGAAATTAAATGTAGAGATATGAATATTTTACCTAATTTCATGTTAAATCGAATTAACGTTAAATTTTATCAATAAATAATTCATATCTGAGTGATGTAAATTCATTCAAAATTAAATTTAATTATATCATTCTTAGTGGATTTACTACCTTAAATAATGTGGCAAAACTTTATTATTTCTCAATTTCGGATTATACAAGGCAACGTTCTATCAAATGACATCATACGATTGATTTCAATTTCCTAATTTTATTATATAAAATACACGCGTGCAAAAACTTCACAATAACATTTAACTGATAAAATATTAATTTTTCAAACAGTTTTCTAGTAATTTATTACAGTTTTTCTTGTTAAAATCGTGTAATTTGATGAAAAAGTTTAGTTTTTATAACATTGTATCGAATTCTTTCGTAGAGTAGAAAGCCTTTAATCTAGACCAGATGAGACCAATTGTTTCGGATTACGGAGAAAATTATCGAAAATCGAAAAAAAACAATAAAAGTTATATTAAAAGCAAAATAATTATTTCTACTCTGTAATGTTATTTGTATCAAGCACACTGCTTTATTTAATTTACTTATCTTTCTGAAGAAATAATAATGAGAGTGAAAACCCAATATAATTGTAACAGAAATAATTTAATTTACTAAAATAAAATTATAAAAACTGCTTCTAAATAAATAAAAAAAAGGGTTTACTTTTATTACTACATAAACAATAGATAAAAGCCTTCCTTTTCACATAGATAACTGATAAAACAAATTTTTGTTTCTACTTCTACACACTTTAGTCAGACATAATTCAAAAAATGCTTTCTTGAACCTTGGAACAGAAAGTACTGTCCGACTGTGAACAATTTGAAGGAGCATAATTTTAGATAAACTTCATACCTGTCGCTCNTAGTAAAATTTTAAATGTATCGGTTACTAAAATTATTATTTTAGAAAATATTTAAAATTTTTACCGATCGATTATAAACAAAATTCCATTGACCAGTAAATAAACATAGGGCCATATTCTGGTCACTGTCTCTGGTCTCTCGTCTCGCAAAACCAAATTGGCTAATCCAAATGATTAGCCAATCAGCGACCGGCTTGCGAGAGACGGGAGACCAGAGACAGTGACCAGAATACAACCCATGGTCTTTATTTTTTAGATTATTTTAGAAACGTGAATGATGTGAATAAATGAAATTTTTAATTACTTTTTATAAGTTTTTTATAATAAAATTCAAGTTTATTTTAATAGATAAAGGCGTTCGTTAATTTATTTCTTTATGGAAATAAATTCGTGGTAACAAATCTTATTTAATCATATCATTGAAATTTATTTCACAACTTTACATTATCCTAATGTAACTGACTAACAACAATAACTAAATTGTATTCTTAAGTGGTCGAATTGTCAAAGTCTTTGCTTGTTGCTCTTAGGATCTGGGTTTGAGTCCGGATTAGAAATCTCAAAAATTTTCGAGAGTGTCTCGGATATGTTGAGCCCCGTCCTTCATCATCGAGCCGATCTCATTGTGGACTCATCAAAATTCATGATGAGCATAGAAAAAGGCTCTCTTAGTGCCTGTAGGGAGGAAAGAATTAAAAAAGAAATACCGTATCTTAGCAACAAAACTATATTTTACAAGTCACTTGATCAGATAATATTTAAAATTACATACTATATGCGTTAATATTCACCCCTGAAATTTTTAAAACTTTTTTGCCCTGTGAAGCACAAATAGGAACTTCATACACATCGTGACTTCGGCCAGGCCCACAATGACAAGCCCAGACTGCATATCAGAGATAGATTACCCTTAAAAATTCCTGGAGTTTCTTAATCGTCCAGATTCGATCCAGGGTACCAATGTAGTAGGCTGACGCTTTAACCGCTTTGGCTTATCTGCAATATTTCTCAGTTCCAAGCTTAGTTGTTATTTTATTTACTGTAGTTCAAGCAATGTCACGCCATTCTGACTCTTGTTCTCTTCCAAAAAGATAATAGACGTTGTATAGCCAATAGACATATACATCCGTGTCCACAACAGAATCAGAAACTTCAATACGATAAACTAAAACGATGAATTAACAATATCTTCCGTTGGATGAGATGGTAAGAAGTTTGATGAACATACGGAAAAAGACTGTATTAAAGTAAAAAGTAAGAAAATGCTTTCTTTTGTGAATTATAAACTACTTATTAGCAATTGTAAATATTAAACTTTCAAATAATATGATATAACAAGTATGTTACATACAATATACAATGCAATATACATTGTATATAAAAGAATGAAAACCGTGACTTCTTTTCACACAGTTTATTTTTATAAAGGTAACTCAAAAATTAGAGTTTGCAACTTCTGGGAATAAATATAGACATACTAAAGAAACATTTGAAGAAGTCTCAGGCCAGAAATCGAATTTTGGCACGAGTTGTTCTCGAACAGCATTGGAATTTGAAAATGCACAAGTTCGTGGGGGTACTTCTTCCTTATGATGTCGCCAATGAGGACATCGAAGTTCAGTCAAGAGGAGAAATATATGGTTTCATGCAAATGACACGCATAATTTCTCGCTACACTCGTGGTCTGTCGTTGGAATACAGCTTCTACGTCATAGGTAACGTTAGCATACTGGCGAAGCACTCTATATGGGCCAAAATATTGACATAATAGTTTTTTACATAGTCCCGGCCTACGAATAGGGATGTAGATCCAAACAAATTCGTTTGGTCGATGATTAACTTGACAATGAGGAGTATCATGTCGCCCCTGTCGTAACGCCGCGACATCAAAGAAACCTAGCCCTTGCTAAGTTTCGAGTTTCCTCAAACTTTATATCGAGAGAAGCTGAATAATCCTCAACATTCCTGNAACCCAAATTTCTTCCGTTTTGTTATCTGTTGAATTATTAGGAACTGAATTACTCTTTTCTGAAGTTTTCTCCTTTAAATCCTTACAAGAATTGATGTTATTTGAAAAATTCCGTTGCAGGAGAGGTTGCTGTTTAGGAATAATTTTCTTCCATAAACTATCCCAGATACTGAGAATAACGGGTAATATAAACATAGCGTGTATGGCTGTGAATGTTACAATTAAGAAAATAGTCTTCAAAAATACTTGAAGCATATAAGATGGCACAAAAGCTAAAACAACTATACCTAATATAGTGGAGAAGGAACCTTGAAATATAGGCATACCCACTGCAAATAACGATGCTTTGAGATTTTCTTTTGATGATGTTTTGTTAGAAATGATAAATGCGTATGCGATGTGGGCTGGATAATTAACAGAAAAACCTACACACATCACTAAACTTATCATAGATAACACATCCAGATTAACTCCCCACAATGACATATAACCGATAGCTTCAACTTCTACAGCAACGATTGTTACCGCAACACATACAGCGCAAGTAAAATTTGGTATAAAAATGAAAAAGATAACCATCATAACCACTGCAGCCACACAAACTGTCTGAATAGATATTGACTTTACAACAAACATCTGTTCATTAAATATAAAATATAAACAATGGGCAATTATAGATATTTTAGAATCTCTCATAACCTCTTTCACGTGTTTATATAATTCCCTCTCTTTGTCTCTGTTATCACATTTATGGATAGTAAAATGAAATCTACTACTAATTATTTCTGTATAGTTCTCATTAAACACTATATCACTTCTTAATTTTCGAGTTTGAGGAAATTTTAAGAAAACATTATGCACACAATCAATAAAATCTTGTTTATCAGTAAGATTATACGCTCTGAAAGAATATGAAAGCATTGGATGTTTCGACATTAACATAAAATACTTTAACCAATATTCTGTGAAGAAACCACCTTTTATATAAGGAGTAGCTTCAAAATTTTTAATTAAGTTGTCAATGTCTTGTTGCACTTTTGGATCAGCATAATTTAACGTTTCGTTAATGGCAACATGTATGCGACCCGTATACTCACCAAAGTATTCAAAATTTAATTTAATATATTTATAACTACTAGTTTTTGGATGAAGAAGGTCACTGAGTTCCATTCCTTCCTTCATATGACTGCATCCCCAAATAGCTACTGCAATGTTTATCAAGAATAATGCAATAATTATAACTTTGCTACATGTCTTAGTTAATAAACCTCCTATGGTTTCTTTAAAAAACTTCATAAATATGTCTTCTTGTATTACTATAGGTTCTTCTTCGCAAGTAGACGTTTTGTTTTCTGAAAAAGATAAATTTCTAAAATCAAATAAATGTTTAAAATATTAATTAATTTGTCATAAAATAAGCAAAAATTGAAAAATACCTTTAAATTTCACTGGTCTAAAAGTAAAAGGATGGAGTTTTTGTTCTTCTCTGAGTCCACTTAAAGCCATGCATCCTCCAAAAAATGTGATTTGATATACGTAAGTAAAAAACACTGCAGTCGCAGCATATATACAAAAAAATTGTACAACAGGAAAGGGTGTGACCATTCCAAAACAAAAAGAAAATAAATTAGTGAGTGAAGTTATCGTAATTGACACTGCTGCTTCTGAATAGGCTTCTCCCATTCTCCTTTTTAGACTTTTTTCGGGACTTGTACGTCTCCAAGCAGAAATTAGAACAAATGAATCATCCATCCCTATTCCTATAATTAATTACAATAAGTCAGAAACTTATCTTATTGCAAAATATCTGTAAAAATAACATAAATTATACAATTACCTATCATCAAGAAGGGCAAAGCTATTATCACGTCGACGTATTCCACTCCGCAATACATGAGCATTCCAAAAGTTGCCGAAACAGCTAGAAGAGAAGAAATAAATCCCGATAATCCCAACCATGGTTTACTTCTAATCCATTCAGTTGACATGCAAGTGACTATTGAAAAAAGTAACATTAACACTACTGAAATTCCAATTAGAGAAATGCTTTCAGAAGTGTTTCTTCCAAATTCGTTTTCTACCGATCTAAAACTAATTTTGTACACTGTGATGTTATCAAATTCTGTATTATGAATATAATCACTGAAAAGACTTTCCCATTTAGTTACAATATGATCCATTAATTCAGTTTTGGTATGGTAAAAATAGTTCAAACGAAAGGCTTTTGCTTCTTGTACGTAATCATCATTATCCAATGTCACTCCTCCTAAATTCGCTGCGTAGGGAGTTATTTTAAAATTATCTAAGTTTATATCTACTGGATACTTAAATTTAAATGTTCCTTTATTATAATCATCGATCTTCGTTAATAATGATAATCCAACGTTGTAGATACAATTTCCATTCCTTCTAGCACAAATCTGACTGTAATTCCAATGTTTATTGTTCATATAAATCGTGAAATTTTGTGCAAAGTTATCAATCTCAACTATTTCTCGAAAAATATCTGTTCTTAATATATTTCCTTTATCCTTAGGTATAATAATAAGGAAAATTGCATCTCTTATCCTTGTAGTTCTCGAAGGATCAAAATTAGCAACTTCATCAAATGGAAACAATTTCTCCATAGCATCTCTATCTCTTACGGCTTTACTATCTTTCATAGAATATAGATATTCCGCATCTTTTAAATACTTCATCTGCAAATATCCAGTCGATAAAATTAAAGATATACCGAAAGGTATTAATATAAAATGAATGGGATGTTTGGAGATGGAATGTCCTAGCAGCGTGCAACATAAACTTAGAGTTTTCTGCGCGCAATTCCACTTCATTTCCTCTAGATATGTCAAAGTGTTAGAAGAGTATCTGTAAAAAAATAATTGGCATTAATTTAAATAGGTATAAACAAATATTAGGAAGAAATATTTTTAAAATATTTTATCAATTATATTAATATATTTCTCTCGTTTTTTATATTAATTGTATAATTAAAAATAATTTATAAAATATTTTCTAAATTTTATTATATTAATACTTTTTGCTCCGTTTCTAAGATGCTACATTTCCTCGATTAAACTTCGATTACTGTATTTATAAAACGTACAATACTTATCATACGGGAATTATTGAAGGCTCTGGGTTTTATTACTTTGTAGCAGGAGACGAGGGGATGAAAATCGAAAGAAATACCTTAAACATTCGTACATTTTCTCAACTATCAAAACCGTTTATTGGCTGTATTTGTGGGTTACAGTTATAACATTTGGAATAATTACTGTTTTCATAGTTAACTACATTCAGAGTATTCCGATTTGGTTATTACGTTGTCATTCGTGTTTGCTTCGATGTCGTTGTAGGAATAAGACATTGATTATCACCACGGACTACCTCGACAACCAAGATCTTCTGATTCAAACTCACCATCTCTTACCAATTCGATTTTCCTAACTACTCTTCGGCTTGTAAGCTCTCGATTTATGAACTTCATCGCCACTTTCCCACGCTCAATATTCGACAATAATTATAATTTTATTTCAAAAAATGCTTTCTTGAACCTTGGAACAGAAAGTACTGTCCGACTGTGAACAATTTGAAGGAGCATAATTTTAGATAAACTTCATACCTGTCGCTCTTAACAGTGCAGTTTTTCAACTTGTTTAACATGCTTTTCAACTGGGATTTATTCGAGACCGGGTTTTATTTTTAACATCATCTTTACACCATGTGGTTTATTCGAGGAAATACATATAAAATCTCTTATCAAGATTAAGTCACTAATTAATTTGAACATGCATTTCTTTACATCTTTCACAATTAACATTTCTAACATTTTATCTAAAGAAGAATTTTTTTTATGTTTCTGTTGTTTAGTCTAAAGCCAAAGAACTAAGCAAATAAATATTTTTATTGAGTATTAACTTGCACTATCAGATAGGCTTTACTTCAACTGATGTTCAAATCGTTCATCCATCTCTACAGATACACTGTAACTCTCATAAAAAGAAATCTTTAAGGATCAAATTCCGAGCTTAGAAATAAATTTAAGAAAAATAAACTTTATATAACCTAATTAAATTATATTTTCTTTGGAAAATATTTATCTAAATCATTAACTAATTCTCCAAGTTGATTAGATTTAAATATCACAAAAAATTATTGTGAAATTGAATTATTTCCTATCAGACAAACCTACTTTTTTATTATCTTTAATAATTAATTATCAGTTAATATTTATTAGATATCATAATGTTTTTCAAGTAAAATATCAAAGTAAATTTCATACAAATAATATAAACAAATCCGTTTTAAATAGTTTTAAATTGAACTTTTATCAAGTTAAAATAATTTTTTTTTTCACTATAGAATATTTTATATATCAACTTCCTGTATAATAAATATCGATTTACAACTAACTTAATTTTTTACACACAAAAAGTATCAAGTTTACAACTGCAAAACTAAAAAAAATTTATAAATTCAAGGTCTTGATCTATTGAATTTCAACTGATTATCCCTTTGATTCTTATTACTGAATATTTTCTGTCTTCCTCATTATATATTTTTATATAAACTGTACAATAATTTCCTTATTAAGTTACGTTAAATTAAGGAATTAATTATTCATACGAAAAATTTTTCTACTCACATAAAACATATGAATTGATGGACTTTATTTACCCGCTAGCTCAACTCAGATAAAAATAGACTGTTTCTGATACAGTATAGACCAATAACTACATCTCTTATGACCTTTCTTGCGATACAAAGATTAAAAAATAAAAAAGTAATAAATAGCGTAGAAACTATTGGTAGATAATTTATCTGTTTGATAACCCTGTGTAAACAAGATTTGCTCCATAGAATTAATATAAAGCACTCTTAATACTTAGATGTAAATTGATTTTAACAAATTTATCATATTCGTTAACTTGTGTTTTAAAAGTTTAGAGAATTTTTATAATTATTTTATATATATTTTATTATTTAAAAAAAGTTAAGATATAGAAGTACTTTCAACAAAAATAATAGAAAGTTGCAATCTCTGTTCGTTCAAATGAAAGTATTTTGTAAATATACGAATGATTTCGGTATTTGATACAGCGATAAGCATTTAAGATAAAGTAAAATTACATTTAAGAATTGTAAATAACTCATATCAGCTATAAATTACTATTTATTATAAAGAAATTTATAAAAATTAAAATTTTACGCAAATAAACTTTAAAAAATTTCTAAAACTTGTTACTTACCTCATTTTAAAGTTGTATCCTGAAGAATAATTAAAACACTTTTTATTTCTTATGATTTAATAAAATAATTAAATGTTCGGTCAGAGAATAAATATAAATATTATATTATATATATATGAATATGTGTAAGTAAATCTGTGGAAAGACTATACAGAAGTTATAAAGTTGTCGGATTTATACAAGGCAACGTTCTATCAAATGACATCATACGATTGATTTCAATTTCCTAATTTTATTATATAAAATACACGCGTGCAAAAACTTCACAATAACATTTAACTGATAAAATATTAATTTTTCAAACAGTTTTCTAGTAATTTATTACAGTTTTTCTTGTTAAAATCGTGTAATTTGATGAAAAAGTTTAGTTTTTATAACATTGTATCGAATTCTTTCGTAGAGTAGAAAGCCTTTAATCTAGACCAGATGAGACCAATTGTTTCGGATTACGGAGAAAATTATCGAAAATCGAAAAAAAACAATAAAAGTTATATTAAAAGCAAAATAATTATTTCTACTCTGTAATGTTATTTGTATCAAGCACACTGCTTTATTTAATTTACTTATCTTTCTGAAGAAATAATAATGAGAGTGAAAACCCAATATAATTGTAACAGAAATAATTTAATTTACTAAAATAAAATTATAAAAACTGCTTCTAAATAAATAAAAAAAAGGGTTTACTTTTATTACTACATAAACAATAGATAAAAGCCTTCCTTTTCACATAGATAACTGATAAAACAAATTTTTGTTTCTACTTCTACACACTTTAGTCAGACATAATTGATTAAAGTGACTTCTTATATTCATTATTTTTTTAATTTAATTTTTTACTATAGATTTTAATTTTAAGCTGGATTCTATGTTCGATTTTCATCTTTTCATATTAATTCTTAAACATGTCCAATGGCCGGCGTATTACACTCTTCAACAAGACACTNCAACTCTGCAAATGTTTGACAGTCACGAGCTCAGCTGCTATTGTCACGTTGTCGTTACAAGTGCCACATATCAATAGACCATCAAACATATTTATAACCTCAACTAAGGTTTGTATGTATTCGATACGTTTAGCTGAGCCACAGATGACTTTTTCTATTCTACTAAACTATCAAACTATAATTTTGCCAGAATCATTTCAAGCTTGATTTCATTAATATACGCATTGAAGTATTATTCCCAAGGCTATAAAATGAGTTCGCAAAAAGACTTCGTTTCAATGTCTTGAATAGAAAGATATTTTACGAATATTATCCATAAAATATTGATAAAAATTATCTTTTGAGTCAGTATTTTATGGTTATAGCATCAACATTTCTGCGACTTTTATTGCTCTTTCATCAATGCATTTCTTTCACAAATGATAACATAAAAAATCTCATCTTTGATTTTTCTTGAAAATAATGCATTGTGATACTTAATTAGTTTTATAAATAATTCTGTATTTATTCACTTTAAAATCTCGCTTTGTTTTTTGATTATATCAAGAAATTAAATGTAGAGATATGAATATTTTACCTAATTTCATGTTAAATCGAATTAACGTTAAATTTTATCAATAAATAATTCATATCTGAGTGATGTAAATTCATTCAAAATTAAATTTAATTATATCATTCTTAGTGGATTTACTACCTTAAATAATGTGGCAAAACTTTATTATTTCTCAATTGCACAATTTTAAATTGTTTAATAGGCGACTTGCATTCAATAATTGAATGCAAGTCGCCTATTAAATATTATTCATATCAGATGATATGAATAATATTTAATATTCATATCAGATGAATATTTGATAATTTTGTTTATAATCGATCGGTAAAAATTTTAAATATTTTCTAAAATAATAATTTTAGTAACCGATACATTTAAAATTTTACTAATAAGTGATATAATTATGATTTAAAAGCCCTTACAATGAATATTTTAAATCCCTTATTATTGATGCAGATATATATTTGCATCAATAATATTCATATCAGATGAATATTTAATATTCATCTGATATGAATATTAAATATTATTCATATCAGATGAATATAAATAGGCTACAATATTAAAATAAATATAAAAAAATTGTTAAATATTTATATGTATTTATGTTAAAAGTATTACCTTGAAATTGAATTAAATCGATGGATTATTTGATCTTCTGAAAAATACATTTTCTTGACAGCAACTACAAAAAATACAATAATACAGAATTGAGATCCTACAATATTTTACATAAACCTATAGTAAAATTTTAAATGTATCGGTTACTAAAATTATTATTTTAGAAAATATTTAAAATTTTTACCGATCGATTATAAACAAAATTCCATTGACCAGTAAATAAACATAGGGCCATATTCTGGTCACTGTCTCTGGTCTCTCGTCTCGCAAAACCAAATTGGCTAATCCAAATGATTAGCCAATCAGCGACCGGCTTGCGAGAGACGGGAGACCAGAGACAGTGACCAGAATACAACCCATGGTCTTTATTTTTTAGATTATTTTAGAAACGTGAATGATGTGAATAAATGAAATTTTTAATTACTTTTTATAAGTTTTTTATAATAAAATTCAAGTTTATTTTAATAGATAAAGGCGTTCGTTAATTTATTTCTTTATGGAAATAAATTCGTGGTAACAAATCTTATTTAATCATATCATTGAAATTTATTTCACAACTTTACATTATCCTAATGTAACTGACTAACAACAATAACTAAATTGTATTCTTAAGTGGTCGAATTGTCAAAGTCTTTGCTTGTTGCACTTAGGATCTGGGTTTGAGTCCGGATTAGAAATCTCAAAAATTTTCGAGAGTGTCTCGGATATGTTGAGCCCCGTCCTTCATCATCGAGCCGATCTCATTGTGGACTCATCAAAATTCATGATGAGCATAGAAAAAGGCTCTCTTAGTGCCTGTAGGGAGGAAAGAATTAAAAAAGAAATACCGTATCTTAGCAACAAAACTATATTTTACAAGTCACTTGATCAGATAATATTTAAAATTACATACTATATGCGTTAATATTCACCCCTGAAATTTTTAAAACTTTTTTGCCCTGTGAAGCACAAATAGGAACTTCATACACATCGTGACTTCGGCCAGGCCCACAATGACAAGCCCAGACTGCATATCAGAGATAGATTACCCTTAAAAATTCCTGGAGTTTCTTAATCGTCCAGATTCGATCCAGGGTACCAATGTAGTAGGCTGACGCTTTAACCGCTTTGGCTTATCTGCAATATTTCTCAGTTCCAAGCTTAGTTGTTATTTTATTTACTGTAGTTCAAGCAATGTCACGCCATTCTGACTCTTGTTCTCTTCCAAAAAGATAATAGACGTTGTATAGCCAATAGACATATACATCCGTGTCCACAACAGAATCAGAAACTTCAATACGATAAACTAAAACGATGAATTAACAATATCTTCCGTTGGATGAGATGGTAAGAAGTTTGATGAACATACGGAAAAAGACTGTATTAAAGTAAAAAGTAAGAAAATGCTTTCTTTTGTGAATTATAAACTACTTATTAGCAATTGTAAATATTAAACTTTCAAATAATATGATATAACAAGTATGTTACATACAATATACAATGCAATATACATTGTATATAAAAGAATGAAAACCGTGACTTCTTTTCACACAGTTTATTTTTATAAAGGTAACTCAAAAATTAGAGTTTGCAACTTCTGGGAATAAATATAGACATACTAAAGAAACATTTGAAGAAGTCTCAGGCCAGAAATCGAATTTTGGCACGAGTTGTTCTCGAACAGCATTGGAATTTGAAAATGCACAAGTTCGTGGGGGTACTTCTTCCTTATGATGTCGCCAATGAGGACATCGAAGTTCAGTCAAGAGGAGAAATATATGGTTTCATGCAAATGACACGCATAATTTCTCGCTACACTCGTGGTCTGTCGTTGGAATACAGCTTCTACGTCATAGGTAACGTTAGCATACTGGCGAAGCACTCTATATGGGCCAAAATATTGACATAATAGTTTTTTACATAGTCCCGGCCTACGAATAGGGATGTAGATCCAAACAAATTCGTTTGGTCGATGATTAACTTGACAATGAGGAGTATCATGTCGCCCCTGTCGTAACGCCGCGACATCAAAGAAACCTAGCCCTTGCTAAGTTTCGAGTTTCCTCAAACTTTATATCGAGAGAAGCTGAATAATCCTCAACATTCCTGTTCGGAGTTACGGGTTGTGTAAGGAACTGTAGTATGACGACCGCGAACCAAACAGAATGGTGAATAACGCGAACTCCAATAATCTGTCGGTCGTAACGAACACATTTTTTCCTTATTCTGTTGGCCCACCAGTGACCAAGCGATTCCGTTCCCTGAACACTGGGAGTTCGGTGGTGAGTTCGCGCCTGGCCAGGACGGGCTGGCCACGTGGAGTTTTCCACGTTTTTCCCACGTCTGTAAAGCCTGAATAGGGGCGAGTTACCCTTAAAAAGACCTCCCGGAAGGCATCCCCTAAGCAAATCGCCCAAGTGTTTCGTTGCCATAAATTAACAAAACAAAAAACCTTATTCTGTTTGTCAACTTCCAACAGCCAGATCTTAAATCCTCGCAAACAATTTAGAACATCATCTATGCAAATTAGATGATAAACATCCTTTTTCGTAACCGAGTTTAATCTTCTATAATCGACACAAAACTCCAGCTTCCGTTGCGTTTTCTTATTAAAACTACTGGAGAAGATCGAGGACCCGAGAATGGCTGAATTATACCGTCTCAACATTTTATCAATTTCTTTATTAATGATCCGTCGTTCCTCGAGGAACACTAGATACGGCTTCTGTTTGCTGGGTGGATGATCACACGTCCGAATTTGATGCTTCACTTTTATGGTACAACTGCCCGAGAGCAAATCGGGAGTCAATAGCTCTTTGTACAGTACTTCAACAACAGGACCAATAGTTCGTCTATTGTACTGTAGAATTTGTCGTTTTTCGTCCTTGTTTTCCTCTGATTTTTCTACCTGAGAGTTCTCGTTGACGCAGGCGACAATTTATGTGTCCAGTTGTGGTTTCCATTCACCTAAACAGGACCCAGCAACTAACGCAGTAGCAACTGCGATTCCTCGGCCTCCGGCAGAACTATTCGATTCCCATAATCAATGAGAGCGACAATTCTTTCTAAAAAGTTCTACCCAACCTCAAATCGTAACTGTTACGTTCTGGGACAAAAAGCTTCTCGGGAATCATTAAGAATTCGACTGGTATCCTCGTGGTACTGTTAGGGTAAATTAAGGTCTTTTATCACTAACTTCAGTTTCGATATGCTAACGATAATTCGTCCGTTCACAGCGCAGGATAGAATGACAAATTATACATACCAGCAATGTCTTCAAAAATTACTTTATTGAAGTTATTGTTATAGACATAAATCACAAAGCAGTTGAATGCACAGTGAAAAAAAGAACAAGAAGAAAAACGAAACTAAAACTAAAAAAACGAGGATATTAATTTTAAATAACGGGACGAGATCTCGCACTCTTCTCGCGAGCACTATCGTTGAAGAGTTGTTAATAAACACGGACGTCTAACAGGTACACTGTCCAAAAACATATAGCATCGTTCCACCCAAGCCAGTAACAGGTAGCGAACTCTGAGTCAATACTTTACGTAACTTAGTTCGAAGAACGTCCGACATCACTGAAACGATCGCCCCGATATCCACGAGAGCTTATCACTTCAGCGTTGTTGGCGCAGTTAGTTATCATCGAAGGTTCCCTCGATAAGTCNCTTAAATGATTATTTTCCATATAAGACTTGTTTTGATCTCATAATTCAAACTAAAAAAAATTTATAAATTCAAGGTCTTGATCTATTGAATTTCAACTGATTATCCCTTTGATTCTTATTACTGAATATTTTCTGTCTTCCTCATTATATATTTTTATATAAACTGTACAATAATTTCCTTATTAAGTTACGTTAAATTAAGGAATTAATTATTCATACGAAAAATTTTTCTACTCACATAAAACATATGAATTGATGGACTTTATTTACCCGCTAGCTCAACTCAGATAAAAATAGACTGTTTCTGATACAGTATAGACCAATAACTACATCTCTTATGACCTTTCTTGCGATACAAAGATTAAAAAATAAAAAAGTAATAAATAGCGTAGAAACTATTGGTAGATAATTTATCTGTTTGATAACCCTGTGTAAACAAGATTTGCTCCATAGAATTAATATAAAGCACTCTTAATACTTAGATGTAAATTGATTTTAACAAATTTATCATATTCGTTAACTTGTGTTTTAAAAGTTTAGAGAATTTTTATAATTATTTTATATATATTTTATTATTTAAAAAAAGTTAAGATATAGAAGTACTTTCAACAAAAATAATAGAAAGTTGCAATCTCTGTTCGTTCAAATGAAAGTATTTTGTAAATATACGAATGATTTCGGTATTTGATACAGCGATAAGCATTTAAGATAAAGTAAAATTACATTTAAGAATTGTAAATAACTCATATCAGCTATAAATTACTATTTATTATAAAGAAATTTATAAAAATTAAAATTTTACGCAAATAAACTTTAAAAAATTTCTAAAACTTGTTACTTACCTCATTTTAAAGTTGTATCCTGAAGAATAATTAAAACACTTTTTATTTCTTATGATTTAATAAAATAATTAAATGTTCGGTCAGAGAATAAATATAAATATTATATTATATATATATGAATATGTGTAAGTAAATCTGTGGAAAGACTATACAGAAGTTATAAAGTTGTCGGATTTATACAAGGCAACGTTCTATCAAATGACATCATACGATTGATTTCAATTTCCTAATTTTATTATATAAAATACACGCGTGCAAAAACTTCACAATAACATTTAACTGATAAAATATTAATTTTTCAAACAGTTTTCTAGTAATTTATTACAGTTTTTCTTGTTAAAATCGTGTAATTTGATGAAAAAGTTTAGTTTTTATAACATTGTATCGAATTCTTTCGTAGAGTAGAAAGCCTTTAATCTAGACCAGATGAGACCAATTGTTTCGGATTACGGAGAAAATTATCGAAAATCGAAAAAAAACAATAAAAGTTATATTAAAAGCAAAATAATTATTTCTACTCTGTAATGTTATTTGTATCAAGCACACTGCTTTATTTAATTTACTTATCTTTCTGAAGAAATAATAATGAGAGTGAAAACCCAATATAATTGTAACAGAAATAATTTAATTTACTAAAATAAAATTATAAAAACTGCTTCTAAATAAATAAAAAAAAGGGTTTACTTTTATTACTACATAAACAATAGATAAAAGCCTTCCTTTTCACATAGATAACTGATAAAACAAATTTTTGTTTCTACTTCTACACACTTTAGTCAGACATAATTGATTAAAGTGACTTCTTATATTCATTATTTTTTTAATTTAATTTTTTACTATAGATTTTAATTTTAAGCTGGATTCTATGTTCGATTTTCATCTTTTCATATTAATTCTTAAACATGTCCAATGGCCGGCGTATTACACTCTTCAACAAGACACTCCCCAATTTATGGGGGGCCTATGCTGTTTGGATGTTTTTAATAATTTATATTAATATTTTAAAAATTATTTAATATTATTAGATCTAATTTTATCACGGAATATCAAAGAAAGAGTGTTGAAAATAATTATGATTTTTATCTTTCTTAGCTTGATAGGGCCTCTTCCAATCTAAAAAAAAAAAAAAAA